TGAATTTTTGGAATTTAAGCTTACGTCAAAGATTTCAAACCCAGCGATATCCAGGACACCAATGTAGTACTGCCTTGCTTGTTTAGTGTCCAACATCTGGTTGATACGGATGACCATCCACAAGAACATCTTCTCATAGATAGACTTGGCCAGGGCAGGCACTGAGTTACCCACCTGAATGAAATAATGAGGTGATTTGATAAATTAACCGTTTTGTAAAATAATAGATTATTGGTGTTCTTGTATAGCAGGGGTCTCAAACTCATCTTCACTCTGGGCCACATCAGCATCACGGTCGCCCTCAAAGGGCCGGTTGTAAATGTAAGACTGTGTAAATGTAACTACTCCTAACATATTGGTAAATAACTGTCTCTGCATTTGATTATTGTTTATTCAAGTGTAAAAATATTGTACATGCAGTTATATAAATGTAAAAATATATTTTTTATATTTTTCAATTAAAATTTTATTAAAATTAAAATTAAATTAAAATTAAATTAAAATTAAATTAAAATTAAATTAAAATTTCTTTTTTTTTAAATTAAATATTTAAGCACATTTCTGTTATTATAACTTAAATCCTTTTAATTTAGGGTTAGGAAACCCACATTACTCTATCAAGGATCAAACTATTAAAGAAAATAGCAAAGACAAATATCAAACACAAGTTATTACAATAACTTTGTTCAAAGCTTAAAATCCTGTCAAGGGTGCGTTTGCACAATCCCACATGAAGTATTTCATGTGTTGTAAAGACATGTTTAAAGTAGTCTTCCATGTACACACAATACATTTCGATGTCACATGTACATTAACCAGCCAAAGAGCTGCTTCTATGACTGTGTGTAATAATTATGACTTTCTATCTCATAACTTCGACTTTCCAGCTCATAATTTTGACTTTCTGTCATAATTGACTTTCTATCATAATTTTGACTTTCTATCATAATCTTGGCTTTCTATCTCAGAATTATGACTTTCTATCTCATAATTTGGACTATGGGGATATTTTTATTATCAAGTCTAACTTTTAATAAATTATTATTATTATTTTTTTTTTTTTACTTTTTCTTTTTTTCTGGCGGATTCGCGGGCCACATAAAATGACGTGGCGGGCCGGATTCGGCCTGCGGGCCTTGAGTTTGAGACCCCTGTTATATAGTCATTCTAATGAGATATATGACACAAAAAAAATCCTAAATGAAAAACATGCATTCAATTCAATTCATTTTTTATAGCCTACAATCACAAACTTGCCTCGGAGGGCTTTACAATTTGTACACATATGACATCCTCTGTAGGGACCCTCACATCGATACAGGACCCCCCCCTCTAGATTCAGCATTCAATAGATAAAACTTTAAGTAGTAACATTGTACATTTACATGGCTTTTATTGTATCGAGTGAACCCTGTAATACATTATTTTAGTAGAACTAATATAACTAATCTTTTTTCAAATAGTAGGATATTGAATATGGATAATTCATGTTTACCTGAAGTACAGTCTGTCCCTTGGTGACATACTCATTTCCGACCTTCACTCTGGGATAGCACAGAGCTTTCAGCATGTCAGCGGAGTTCAGACCCAGCAAGTAAGCAACCTTGTCAGCCTCTGAAAATAATTCAGTGATTTCCATCATGATATGAACAGAAACCAGTGTGATTAGGAACTCTATTTATCTTAATACTGTTGTTCCCAAGCTACTCACCCTCTGTGCCATCAGGCTCAGCCTGCTCCTCACGCTGTTTTTGCTTGAACTTCATGTTACCATGGTGGATCACTGCACCAGTCATCTTGTAGATGCTCATCTTCTCATCATTTGTGAAGCCCAGGATATCAATAGCATTCTAAAATTCAAAAGATGTGTCCACACAAAACATAATCACTTTAGAAAATGCAGTTAAAAGAGCAGTTTTGCATGTATTGCACTAAATATATTTCAAGAGTTTGAAGTGAAGATCACTCACATCAGTGGCTTCCAGCTCAACTTTGTCATCAATGCTGGCCACAGCGATCTGACCCATGCTGCACATGGGGAAGTCGTAGGGGTTGGTTGTGATGAGTGCCAAATCTGGTCATCAAAAAAGGTTGAAAATGTCAATAATTTAGTATCATATGAAAACAGTAGGTGAAATGTTGCAACATCTCAATCTGTTTACCAAGCAGCTCAGGTTTGTGGCCGGTCATCATCTGGAAGAAGATGTGGTAGCCTCTTTCAGCGGGAAGCTGGAATGTCACTCTAGACTTCTCCAGCAGATCTACAAATATTGTTTATAAGTCACAGCTAGGCCAATTCTCAATTTCAGTCAATTGTATGTACAAGGAGTATTATTACTTACATGTCTCAATATCAGCACTAGCCAGTTTGCCAGATGCGTGGAAATGGATTCTGATGAATTTACCCTGTTTGGAACAAAGAGATTCTTAATGTCCCTCTACATGGACAATCAGTTACAAGGCCTCTCACATGTGTAGAAATTTTTTCATACTTACAAAGCGAGAAGAGTTGTCATTCCTCACAGTTTTGGCATTACCGTAGGCCTCCAGCAGGGGATTGGCTGCAATAATCTGATCCTCCAGTGACCCCTATAATCCAGTATTAGAAGTGATATCAAAAAATGACTTTGGAAAATGTTCCATTGGTAAAGAACCCTGAATTGTAATCATCAAGAACATACCTTTGATGTGTCTCTCTTCTTCCCTTCTCCACCAACTGAGATTGTTGCAAAGTACTGGATGACACGCTTGGTGTTCACAGTCTTTCCAGCACCAGATTCTCCACTAGGCATAGACACAGACTTATAAGAATTTGATCAAGATATTTGACTATCTTCAACAAAGTCAACAATTGTAAATGAACCAAACTTACGTGATCAAGACTGACTGGTTCTCCCTATCTGTTAAATAAGAAACAAAAGAATGAACTATGTTTCACTGCAACAGAAACCTCATACAGTGATATCCTCTACATTGTTGTGATAATGACTTACCAGTAAGCATGAACTGATAAGCGTTGTCAGAGACAGAGAAGATGTGGGGTGGAGCCTCCATACGCTTCTTGCCTCTATAGGCAGCTACACATTCACCATCGTACACTGGGAGCCACTTGTAGGGGTTCACAGTGGCACAGAACAGTCCAGAGTAGGTCTGAAAGTTATCATAGAGATTCAACAGTTAATATTATGTTTCCTAAAAGTAAAGTCATTTTCAATAGTTCTCGTTCTCCTTAGATAGATTGTCTTACGTAGATCATCCATGCTGCATAACGCTCTTTGAGGTTATACAGCACAGCAGCTTCATTGAGATGGGTCATCATGGCCATGTCCTCAATCTTGTCATACTTGGGAGGATTCATTGGAGTGACGTCATCTTCTTTAACTGTCTTCTCCTGAAACATGACATTTGTCACAATGAGAACTGATCATATTGAATTCCCAGTTGGCTCTGACTTTATGATACCAACCTCCTGAGTATCCAGGACTTTGACTGTGACTTTGGCACCATCTTTCTTGATGATTGTTGCCTTCAAGTACAGCTCCTTGACATCGACCACGTAGCAGGCACTCTTGGCATCAAATGGTGCGGCTTGAGCCTCTATTCTCTCCCTCTCTGGCTTACGTAGGTAAGCGGCAGCTTTGCCATACGTGGCCATCTCCGCGTCTGTACTCATGGTG